AGTGGGGGGGCTGACAGAGAGCGGTTACCTTCCTGCAGCTCCGTTCTGCTTACAGTGTAAGTCTTGCGAGACACACTGTAAGCAGAACAGAGCTGACAGAGGAGCTGCACGGAGAAGAAGGGAGCTGACAGGAGCTGCAGGAAGGTAATTAACAGCTCGCTGCCAGCCCCCAACAGGACCGCCGGGCTTCTAATGAGCCCGGCGGTCCTGGTCTGTATTGTGGCAATATAAATTGCCATAATACAGACTTTGACTCAAGTATAAGCAGAGTGGGGTTTTTTCAGCACAAAAAATGTGCTCGGCTTATACTCGAGTATATAATTGGTGCAAATGCAATCAAGAATATGGAATTAGAATAGTTTTCAATTATACGTGTGTGATTTCATTTAATGTGGTCTCTTCCTCTTGTCATTCTTTTATTTTCAGGTACCATAACAAATCTTTGGATTCTAGGTCACTCAAGGGGTCTGGCAGGCCATGCAAAGAGCAAGAGCCAGAATATACAGACGTAACGAGAACTTCAATCAGGGCGATGTATAGTTGATCTGAGATTTTGTAATTATGGTCATTAGGTCGGACTGTTCTACATGGCCAGATACAGCAGTTTTGTTTTGTTTTTTTAACCATTCACATAGTGGTAACCATGTAGGTTTAGTTAAGTCTGTTTATTGCACATTTTGAGTTATTGGATCATGAAGGAAATATTTCCTGTAACCGTTTTACTTTGATCAGAAAAAAAGATGGCCAGCTCCAGCTATAGAATAGGGCAAATAGGGAGTAGTGTAGATTGTTAAATCTTTCCTTACTGCATTGTTTAATGATTTTAGTTCCCCTTCAACGGTTTAATTTTGTTCATGAATTGGTCCCGCGATTGCTATGGTTAGAATCACAATAGTAACAGTGTTGGAGAAGGCACGCATTACGCTGGATGTTTTACATACACCAATATAGTAAGGTTCAGGTTCATTTGGCAAATATTGGAGTTAAAATACTTAAGATGGAGTTACAAAACATGATGGAAGGGCCTTGGCTGTGGAGGGCCTCAGCTGGAGTAGTGTCTACCCCAGTTGAGGCAGTGGGGCAAAAGTCATCCTAAGGGTCAAGTTCTGAGGAAGGGTATAGTGAAAAATGGTTTTAAATAAAAAGGCGGTCAGGTTAGTTATGACTGGCTATTTGGTGTTTAATAAAGTTAAAAGTTTTGCAAGTTGGTGAACCATGTGTTATATGCTTATGGTTACAAAGTTATAGTTGTTTGCCACTTGAGCTTCAAATAAACACCACGGCAAAGCCCATTGAAAAGTAATTAAATGTTGTCTGTGGTTATTGTGGGACTCGTTTTATTTATACGAATATTGCCTACCATATATAAAGAAGCCACAGGCACTAAACACTGTGGCATATATGAATGGAGGCAATAAAGGAGTTAATCTGTTTAATATGGGATTTGAATGTGAGGAATTTTACATCTTGTGGTAGATGGTCATTTAGACAGGTTTTTGGGCAGAATTGATGACACAGCCGTTTCTGGGGGGCTGGAGCTGGCATGGGATTGGTTGAAAGTTGCAAGCAGAAAAAGAGCAGGAAACTGGAACAGTATAAAAAGAAACAGCACAAGTTTAATCCTGTCAGAGTGGACTGAAATAGGAACAGTGCGGATGGACCCCACCCCACCTTTATTTAATTGTATTGTCGTGGTGTTATGAAGCATTGTCAAAAGTCATCCTCAGGGTCAAGTTCTGAGGAAGAATATGGTGGTAAATGGTTTTAAATAAAAGGCAGTCGGGTTAGTTATGACTGACTGGCTATTTGGTGGTTAATAAAGCAAAAAGTTTTGAAAGTTGGTGAACAATAGGTTATATGGTTATTGTTACAAAAGTAGCTGCTGATTTAACCTCCATAGCCCAATGAATGTTTTTTATAAGTATAATCTTTACATTCTGCATTGAATAATATGACAGTTCCATGTTAGAATTACTCCTGTGAAATTGAATTCTTCTTTCAGTGAATAGTTTATGCATACACTTTCTGTTGAAACTGCTTTAAAGGACCACTATAGTGCCAGGAAAACGTACTAGTTTTCCTGGCACTATAGTGCCCTGAGGGTGCCCCCACCCTCAGGGACCCCCTCCCGCCGGGCTGGATGGCGAGGAAAGTGTTAAAACTTACCTTTTTCCAGCGCCGGGCGGGGAGCTCTCCTCCTCTCCGGCTGGCTGCGCGCGCTTTCCTATGGACGCTGGCGTCTTCTCACTGATTTTCACAGTGAGAAGCACGCAAACACCTCTAGCGGCTGTCAGTGAGACAGCCACTAGAGGCTTTGGAGGCTGGATTAACCCATTTATAAACATAGTAGTTTCAGAGAAACTGCTATGATTATAGAAGAAGGGGTTAATCCTAGAGGGACCTGGCACCCAGACCACTTCATTAAGCTGAAGTGGTCTGGGTGCCTAGAGTGGTCCTTTAACAGAGTCTGTTGCAATCTATAGAATTTGCAAGTAGTTTAGTTGAATATTAGGTCCAGATGTACATGAAGGCGGACCATCTCCAGTTATTCAGCAAGGGGTTAATTTAATTTACCGAGGTAATTCCTCCCCCCCCCACGTCATTCACTATGCTGTTCAGGACTTACCAATGAGAAGTTGCCACATCGCACCAATAGGAGGACTTCTCTGCACATTTAAATTGAATGCTGTGTACTGACCGGTTCCCTTCTGATGAGGCGAAACGCGCGCGAGGGGTTCTTAGCGTGCTGTTTCTATGATTCAGTAATCAGCACTTGAATTTGCGACCGAGCTACTTGATTTATTAGTTTATTTTCTTTCATTATTTAATCTTGAATTTTTTCTACTACCATATCGGCATTTGCTTAGTGGGAATAGTGGCAGGTGCCCTCGAAGGCACAGGGGGAGTGCTAGCTGTAGGATTCGAAGTATAGCCAGTTGATTGTGCAGCTATCAGCATCCTGACAAGTCTCCGTTTAATTCTAGACCATTTGAAGCGTTCGCACTAATAGATATTCTATACTTTTGACACTTAGTACTTAGGGATCCAGCTATAGGACCCATCAGCAACTTCACCTCCCTCCTCCTCTTAAGAGTCTTCAGACTGCCTTCTCTGACTGCCAAACGATCTAGATGTCTTCTCTGTCTGCTACAGATTGATATGTATATGGTATTCTGTGAGTAATAAGTGGAACACTAATAGACATATATACCTAGTGACGAACAGACAGTTTTGACTATAGGACTTCTATAACTATATCTAAGTTTTGAATAGAAGTTAAATTCTCCTTGATAAATAAGCTCCTTTTTTACCATTAGTATTATCCTGTCATTCCCTTCATTCAGCAGCTTATCTAATCACGATTTTTTTTTAGCTTTATTTCACTGCTGGGACTTTGTATTTGTTAATTTTATTTTGCGGTCTTAATCAGTCCTGCTGAATTGTTATCTTTAGGCAGATTAGACAGTGTCTCTACTATCAAGTACCATCTTGCAATCTCCACTCAGCAATTTATATTTTTTTTATTACCATACGTACCAATCTTCCTGTGCAGTCTCAATCAGTCCTGCTTAATTGTTTACATTGCGTTTATTAATTCGTAATACTAGTAGGCATTTTTTTTTTTAAACAGAGTATAGATTTCTAATACCTTTTATATTTTCACTGTTTGTACACAAGCATATTCACCATATGTTAAGATTTGTTATAATTATTTCAATAACATTTTTGATTTTATGGATCTAGTACTCTCTCTGGTAGCAACTAGTGTAGTATATCTGAGATTTGACAGTCATAATTTCTGATTTCTATTTCAGACTGTAAGTACACTTTTTCTTTTTTGATAACTTCTAATTGGGGTTACCCCCTGTTTTCTTGGTGTACTTAATTGTTGGCTCTACCTCTGCTCTTTTTCTTGTAAACACCACGGCCAAGCCCATTGAAAAGTAATTAAAAAGGTGTCTGTGGTTATTGTGGGTCTCGTTTTATTTATACAAATATTGCCTACCATACATATATGACTGCCAAGGAGTCCGAACAGAGGCAGACCAAGCACAAGCCAAACACAGCCCTGGCCAATCAGCATCTCCTCAGAGATGCATTGAATCAATGAATCTCTAGGAGGAAAGTTTAGTGACAGTGTCTCCACCCTCTGCATGGAGATACTGAACTTACCTCATAGAGATACATTGATTCAATGCATCTCTTAACGGGTGATATTATTGGCCATAGCAGTGTTTGTGCGGACTGTGCCCCTGGATCTGCCTCCTTGATAGGGTCAGCCAATACTATTTGGAAGCATGGTGGTTGGCTCACATAATCACTTCTGATGAGGTCAGGTAAGCAGGCAGTTTAGGGGCAGAGGCAGCAGCAGCAGCAGACTGGAATATAATTAAGATTTCACTATATTTAGGGAGGGCCAGGTGGGGCTAGATGGTGGTTTTAACACCATTGGGTCAGGAATACAGGTTTGTGTTCTTGACCCTATAGTGTTCCTTTACATATAAAGTTTTCATCTGGCTGCAAATATTAAAGATTATAACTACCAGCAACACGTTTTTACATTAAAAGATCATGCTGGGCGGCCCAGTTGCAGTCTGGGTGGCGAGGGCAGAGCTGGGCTGGCGTGGCACCTGGCAGACATCTCTAATCATTAAATGCATTTAAGGGGGGGGAGGGGGTGGCCTGAACACCGACCTGAATAGCCGCATAATCTGAGTGCTCCCGCTCATCCACTAAACATCTAGCACCTACCAAAGGCATCCATCACCACAAAGTAAAGCTACTGGTAGCACAATGTCTACAACAACGACTGGAGCGAAATCAGCGTGCAAAAAGGGGAGAGAGGGCAGAGACACCACCCTCACAGTCACTGAGCTGTTCGCGGCCTCGCGCCCACACAAGATGGCTGCCGTCCCAGCCCACGGGGCTCCCATTCCCCGGCATTCACAGCGGGCAGCGAGACACCCCGACGGGACACACCACAGATCCTCACCAAACTGATGGAAGTCCGAAACTACCAGGAAGAAAAAATTGCCCGTAGCTCCAGAGAAGTGCGGGTGGATATACAGGCCCTAGGGCTGCGCATGACGGACCTGGAATCCCGAATGGAGACCATGGTACAAGTTCACAACACTACAGTGACCCATGCCAACTCCATGGACAGACACCTACGAGACCTAGAGATGCACGTGGCAGACCTGGCTAATAGATCCAGGAGCAATAACCTCCGGATCCGGGGCCTTCCAGGAACACCTAATGAAGGCTCCCTACGTGACAAGCTGCAACAGTACTTCAAACATCTAATACTGAAGATAAATAGGAAAGACAGGGCACACCACGCACTCCGTACCCGCAGATCGGAAGGCGCCCTGCCCATGGATATCATCCTGCGTTTCCACCACTTCTCCACAAAAAGACTTTCCTGCACTTCAGCCAGGACCACGAACTGTCCTACCAATCAGCCACCATAGAGATCTACCAAGATCTTTCCCGACTACATTACAGAGACGCCGGGACTGGAGACCCATCACAACGCTACTACGAAAGAAAAATGTACGCTACACATGGGGACATTCATTTAAATTACTCGCCTTCCACGAAAAATCACTTGAGGTGCTCCCACACCAGAAGGTTAACAGGTGAACACACTCTGGCACACCCCACCGTAGGGACAGACCATGAGCAAATCTAAACAATGAGGTTCCCACGCAGACCCAACACACAGGGACAACTTCAAGGCCCGCAGCACCATACGTACTACAAACACGCACAAGGTGTCCAAAGCTTGTGGATTAGAGTGGGGACACGCCTTTCCTGACTAGAGACAGTTTGCACTAGCAGTAGGGGGGCCCTTACCCCCACCAGATTCTGGCATCCTATAAGACCAGAAAACAAAGTCCCTATATGCAGTACAGGGATAATTAAGGTTTTGTTTATTATTGTCAAGTTATGTTTTGGCTCAAATTGGCGACTCCAAGGCCTACAGCATAACCATTGCACCCATGGACCTTTCCGTGGACAACCCACCACACAAATAAGGGACACAACCCAGTCGCTCACATTCCCAAACCATCAGGGACCTAACTCACAACAATCATGACCCTTAAGATAGTATCCCTTAATGTAAAGGGACTCAACACCCCCAACAAGCGCAGACTCATGCTAAGGGAAATGAAGACTAAGGGAGTGGACATAGCGCTCCTCCAGGAGATGCACCTCCCCAGGTCGGCACCCACCTGCCTGAGAGACAAGACATATACTGTAGCACACGAAGCGAGACACAGCAGGAAAAAGCAGGGGTAGTGATACTCCTACGCAAGAGTTGCCCATACATAATCACAAATACCTTAGCAGACCGCGACTGACACTATCTAGTGGTGACAGGTACCCTCCATAACCAGAGAATTAGCATTATCAATGCCGGTGCCCCAAATGTGCCGGATGCCCCCTTCTGGACAACACTGGAAACACTCACGACAAACCTGGTAGGGGGAATAATATTGGTGGTGGGAGACTAACGCGGCGCCGTGTCCGGCGATCGACAGAAGGGAGAAGACGGGGACGTTGAGATCCCAGGGGAGGAGAAGACAGGATAAATTGCTTCATGAATACCACACACACACACAGGCCTCCTATATGCATGGAGAATGCAACACCCCAATATCAGGGACTACACGTTCTTCTCACACCCACATGACACGTACTTTTACAACACATTCCTCAACCATACAGGCATGCACAAAGTGCTTCACTCAGATCAACAACATCACCTGGTCTGATCACGCAGCTATATCGATCACCCTAGGAAAAGTAAAATATAGCACCAACTGGACATGGAGATTAAAATCCAATCTTTTAGAAGATGCAGACATACAGACCTCTACCAAGGATGCTATCTCAGCATACTTTACACAGAACTCCACATCAGACATTCACCCCACCACACTGTGGGCAGCCCACAAAGCAGTAATTTGGGGGAATTTTATCAAGCTAGCCACACGAAAGAAACAACGCAAAACTAAACTCATGCTAGAGCTCCAATCTAGAGCAACAACATAAAACTAACCCCACAGCCCCTAAACTAGCTGAACTCAATGCAGTCAGACACTCCATAAAAGAACTGGCGCTTGAAGACGTAGCCCACTCAATAGTGTGGTCCAAAAGGCAGTATTATGAAAAGGCAAACAGAATGGACACTGTTAGCCAGGCAACTCAAATCCAGACAAGAAAGCAAACCTATCACCAAAATACGTGAGTCCAGCGGGGAAGAAGCGGACAACCCCAAAGACATTAACGTGGAATTCACCGCCTATATTGCAGCACTCTATAACCACTCCCCACACTACACACTCTAAATAATACAACATACACAGATAAAAATCACATTTTTGGACCGTCTCCCACTACCACAGGTACAGGAGGACGAAAGGGAGGCACTGAATTCACCAATTACTGCAGATGAAGTAGGGGTAGCCATAACACCTAAAGAGCAACAATGCCCCAGGCCCAGATGGTTATGAAATGAGCTACTATAAGACGTTTAAAGACGAGTTGATACCTCACCTTGTAACGATTTTTAGCCACTTTCAGGAGGGGGGCGCACCAGATGACGACATGACGACAGCAAACATAATCCTAATACCGAAACAAGACAAAGACCCAACCCTCCAACTACAGACCCATCTCCCTAATCAACTCAGACCTAAAAATGTTTGCTACCATAATAGCAACAGGCTTACACCGCTACTGACACATCTCATCCACCCAGACCTGGTGGGGTTCATGCCAGGGCACCAACTTTACGAAAACATACGCAGAGGAGCAGACCTGTTGTGGTACATGAAAGACTCCAAGGCGCCTTCTATGGCTAGGTCTGATACAAAGTGTCCTTTGAATTCTATGTGTCGTTTTGCTCAGAAATGCTTCAGACTTGAGAAAGGGAGGTTCTCCCGAAAGCTTGTCATTAAAAAATTCTGTTAGTCCAATAAAAAAGGTATTACAAGATAAGAATTTTATCTGTTTTTTACATCTATATCTAGATCTCTCACACACAAACACACACACACACACACACTAGATATAAAAAAAAAAAAAACAAAAGAAATTAAGATTTAACATTGTCGATCCAGATAAATTTTACATTGACGAGCCAGCCAGACTGTTTTCTGGCATTCCACACTTCCATTAAGGGAAAAATTGAGCAGAGGACGTGAGGGGATGGATCGAATTACTACTCATAGAAGTGTGTGCAGCCAGAAAACAGAGAAAAAGAAAAGTGTTAAAAGCTGTGAGTTTATCAGAAGACAAAGATTTTCAAATCGCAAAGACTGTTCCGAGATTATATTCTACAACAGACAAAAGCACGTGTTATAAAGAAAGCAGCACAAGATACAACGTGTATTCTGCAAGCATGTGGCAGAGACTGGCAAGCATCCAGATCCAAGCCCAGAACTGCGCAGCTGTGTGGATGAAGCAACGAATTAGATAGAAATAACTGATCTGGTGAGTAACATGGAATTCATAAACTATATTGCAGAGAAAAGTAAATTGCAGTTTGCATTTAATAGATATTCAGATGCTGTGTTGTGGCAATCTTTAAACACACAATGTGAAATTGCCAATAGTGAAATTGCCAGGAAATTGTTAATGAAAGATCAGAAATGTTATGAAACTAGTCTGTACTTACAATGCATTGATTTGTAAACGAGATGCAGGTCAAGACAATTTAGAATCAGCAGATAAAGAAGTAGATTTGAATGGGTTAACAGAAGACAAAAATCAGATTTAAATGAACAGTGTAATAACGTAACAGAGTACATGCTGTAACTGTGAGAGATTGTCAGAAACAGTCTGTGAATTAGAGGATAGAGTTGAACTAAGAAATTATCTTATTTGCCAGCTTAGAAATTAAGTAAAGCAAGTATGTTTTAATACAAGAAAAATACAGGCACAGAATCTAATCCCAGAACCAATAGATACTGGAAATGTATCACAGAGTGATCTGTAGAAATTTAAATTCCAAGACAGAGCTGCAAAACTTAATTTGAAAATCCATGCACAATTACTGAAAACTGAAATATATTCCAGTTTATGACACGTCAGTGGATGCATTTACTAATGCTGAGATCAAAGTCAAATTTAGACAAATATCGCCTAAACGACTAACAAAGGAATAGACTATTTAAAATATGGCTGCCGACTCAAATAGCATGTAGGCTGACCACGCCTGTAAAAATGTGAGGACAATGATAAAATATATGAAAACAAACAAGACAGATTAACACAATTAATAAAATTGGGAATGATTTTGCAGACATTAAAATGTTGGAAAAACTAAAACCACACAATGATGAGGATATTTTTAGTTTTATTGTAACATTTTAAAGTGCATATAGACTGGTTGCTAATTTTTCTGAAGATCAGTTAATGAATTTGTGAAAAAAAAAGTCAAGATCTAGATCCAACTGCAATTGTGATAGCGAACGGAAAAAAAAATAACTGACAGAAGTTGCTTTGTTCTTGAATAACTTAAGGAGAGAAACCAGGAATGAAGGGGTTAAAATGGGTTGTGAAAGACAGAAAATCACAGTGAGAAGCGCGGAAGTGCCTCTAGCGGCTGTCAATGAGACAGCCACTAGAGGCTGGATTAACCCATAGCAGTTTTTTTGGAACTGCTATGTTTACAGCAGGCAGTGTTAAACCTAGATGGACCTGGCACCCAGACCACTTCATTAAGCTGAAGTGGTCTGGGTGCCTATAGTGGTCCTTTAACCCCATAAGGACACATGACATGTGTGACATGTCATGATTGCCTTTTATTCCAGAAGTTTGGTCCTTAAATTGTTAAACAGTTTAAAAAGGGGATATGATTAACAAAGTTTGGAAAATTAAAATGTTCAGAAAGACTTTGATATAAAGGAAATTTAAAGATTATACATCACATGGCATAAATGCAATGACCACTAGATGGTAGATCTCATGAGAAGAAATGAGAACGATTTGGAGTCCATGTAATTCAATGTTAAAACTGAATAATAATAATAATAATAATAATAATAATAATAATAATAATAATAATATAAACATTGTAAGCCATTGTATTGATGCTGCACATGTTTTTTGTTTTAATGTAGGTAAAGCGTGACAGATCCTTGTGGCAGTAAATTAGGAAAGTATTCCTTTAGACAACTAGACATCGACTGTTGGAAAGAGACTGATCTGCAAACTGTGATGGAAGATTCTACAGAGTTAATTTTATACAGAAGATTAACAGAGTTACAAAGAAATAAAAGATTGACACTAACATGAATATCAATTCCTAAATATTAACGAAGACGCAAACAGACAATGAAAAGTTAATCAGTTATGAATATTAATACCAAAAGAGAGAACTTATAAAATGTGTAACGTATGGAGTAAAATTATGAAAAGATAGTATTATGAAAAGTACTATTAAATTATGACCTATACA